CATGATTTGAAGCTTGGAATCTACAGCTCTGCCCCCAAGTTTCTTGAGAAGGAAGGACTGAAAATGTAGTTGATAAGCCTACATGATGCAGGTTCCATAACAATCAGACTGTATGCAGTTTGGAGAGCTTCCAGATTGGTAAACACATCCACACCAGGAGAGGAACACATCCCGACTCTACGGGGATAGAGGTTCCCGCAGTCCAGACCCTCCCAGGCCTCACCCTCTTTGTTTCTTCATCTGACTGTTCATCTGTATCCTTTACTAATCCTTTAGTAAAGTGGTAAATTCAAGTATTTTCCCAATTTCTGTGAGCCACACTAGCAAATTAATTCAATCTGAGGAGGGGCTTGTGGGAATCTCCAATTTCTAGGCAAATGGGATTGAAGTTGTGGGTAACCTGAAGACTTCCTACCTGTGATCGGCATCTGAAGTGGGTGCGAACAGTTTTGTGGAATTGAACCCCTAACCTATGGGATCTAACATTAGTGTCAGAATTGAGCTGAATTGTAGGACATCCAGCTGGTGTCACAGAAACTGCTTTTTGTTGAGGGGAAAACCTCCACACACTGGATGACTGGAAGTGTCAGAAGGGAAGTTATGTGTGGTAGTTGTGGGTGTAGTTCTTCCATACAAAGAAGGAGAATTATAGGTTTTTCTTTATGTTGTAGAAGATTTCACATATCATTGAACAGTCTTCAAAATATAATTTTTAAGTTATTGTGTAATATTTCAGATGTTCACAAATTAATGTAACACCCTCCTATTTTTTGGACATTTAAGTTGCTTCAGTTCTTTATTATCATAAGTAATCCTGTAAAAAAAATTCCTTGAATGTAAGTTTTTGTGAATATCCCTAATTTTATGTTTATATTAAGTTCTAAAAAGTACAATTTCTAGGTTGTGAATACACACATTTTTAAGGTGATTTATGCATATTGCTAAACTGAACTCTGAAAGTTTTAAGAACATATTCCTATGAGCACTGCATGTTCATGACAGAAGGAATGGCTTTTAAAAAACTGACTGTGCAAAAATGTTTTACAAGTAAATTCCAAATATGGAGGGAAGTTATATATGACTTTCTATTCATTTCGTAAATAATTTTTTTTTCTCCAAAGGTGTCAGGAAAATAGAAGGACCTTTTAGTAGAGTGGTGAGAGGGTCAGACCTTCTAATAGTTTCTTAATCTTTCAAAACTTGTTTCTTCATCAATAATGTGAGCATAATAATACTTGCCCTGCTAAACACAGAGTGTTTTGTGAGGATACCATGAGATGATACATGTAAATATGCTCTGAAAACTATAATGTCATAAAGGTGGAAGGTGGTACTTTTATTGTTTATTATTGATCTGTGGACAGACTTGCTACATGACATCAGACTTATAAAAGTATCACTAACTTTTTAATATCTTATGTTAACCTTAATGTACATAATCTTCATTCTAAAGCTCAGATGATCCAAAAAGTAATGTTTTGGTCAGTTTTATTTATTTGAAAATAGTAAAGCAATTACTTTTGCCACATAGACAATTATTGTTCAGTTGCCAATTCCACTGACTTGGTTTGCGTCAGAAAAATCACCATAACAAAATTACCATACCATAACAAAATCATCCATTAGGGTTTCCTATTTAATCTAAAAATATTTGCCACATGTAAGTTGAATGTTTCTATGAAGACCTACAAGACCTTCTAGAACTAACACCTCAAAAAGATGTCCTTTTCATTAAGGGAAATGGAATGCAAAAGTAGGAAGTCAAGAGACACCTGGAGTAACAGAGAAATTTGGCCTTGGAGTACAAAATGAAGCAGGGCAAAGGCTAATAGAGTTTTGCCAAGAGAACACACTGGTCATAGTAAACACCCTCTTCCAACAACACAAGAGAAGACTCTACACATGGACATCACCAGATGGTCAACACTGAAATAAGATTGATTATATTCTTTGCAGCTAAAGATGGAGAAGCTCTATACAGTCAGCAAAAACAAGACTGGGAGCTGACTGTGGCTCAGATCACGAACTCCTTATTGCCAAATTCAGACTTAAATTGAAGAGAGTGGGGGAAACTACTAGACCATTCAGGTACGACCTAAATAAAATTCCTTATGATTATACAGTAGAAGTGAGAAATAGATTTAAGGGACTAGATCTGATAGACAGAGTGCCTGATGAACTATGGACAGAGGTTCGTGACAGTGTACAGGAGACAGGGATCAAGACCACCCCCAAGAAAAAGAAATGCAAAAAAGAAAAATGGCTGTCTGAGGAGGCCTTACAAATAGCTGTGAAAAGAAGAGAAGCAAAAAAGCAAAGGAGAAAAGGAAAGATAAACCCATTTGAATGCAGAGTTCCAAAGAGGAGCAAAGAGAGATAAGAAAGCCTTCCTCAGTGATCAGTGCAAAGAAATAGAGGAAAATAATAGAATGGGAAAGACTAGAGATCTCTTCAAGAAAATTAGAGATACCAAGGGAACTTTTCATGCAAAGATGGGCTCAATAAAGGACAGAAATGGTATGGGCCTAACAGAAGCAGAAGATATTAAGAAGAGTGGCAAGAATACACAGAAGAACTGTACAAAAAAGATCTTCACAACCCAGATAATCACAATGGTGTGAGCATCACCTTGAACCAGACATCCTGGAATGTGAAGTCAAATGGGCCTTAGGAAGCATCACTATGAATAAAGCCAGTGGAGGTGATGGAATTCTAGTTGAGCTATTTCAAATCCTGAAAGATGATGCTGTGAAAGTGCTGCAGTCAGTATGCCAGTAAATTTGGAAAACTCAGCAGTGACCACAGGACTGGAAAAGGTCCGTTTTCATTCCAATCCCAAAGAAAGGCAATGCCAAAGAATATGCAAACTACTGCACAATTGCACTTATCTTACACGCTAGCAAAGTAATGATCAAAATTCTTCAATCCAGGCTTCAATAGTACATGAACTGTGAACTTCCAGATGTTCAAGCTGGTTTTAGAAAAGGCAGAGGAACCAGAGATAAATTGCCAACACCTGCTGGATCATCAAAAAAGCAAGAGAGTTCCAGAAAAGCATCTATTTCTGCTTTATTGACTATGCCAAAGCCTTTGACTGTGTGGATCACCACAAACCATGGAAAATTCTGAAAGAGATAGTAATACCAGACCACCTGATCTGCCTCTTGAGAAATCTGTATGCAGGTCAAGAAGGAACAGTTAGAACTGAATATGGAGCAACAGACTGGCTCCAAATAGGAAAAGGAGTACATCAAGGCTGTATATTCTCACCCTGCTTATTTAACTTATATGCAGAGTACATCATGAGAAATGCTGGACTGGATGAAGCACAAGCTGGAATCAAGATTGCTGGGAGAAATATCAGTAACCTCAGATATGCAGATGACACCACCCTTATGGCAGAAAGTGAAAAGGAACTAAAGAGCCTCTTGATGAAAGTGAAAGAGGAAGAGTGAAGAAGTAGGCTTAAAGCTCAACATTCAGAAAACTAAGTCATGGCATCAGGTCCCATCACTTCATGGGAAATAGATGGGGAAACAATAGAAACAGTGATAGACTTTATTTTTTTGGGCTCCAAATCACTGCAGATGGTGACTGCTGCCATGAAATTAACAGACGTTTGCTCCATGGAAGAAAAGTTATGACCAAGATAGACAGCATATTAAAAAGCAGAGACATTACTTTGCCAACAAAGGTCTGTCTAGTCAAGGCCATGGCTTTTCCAGTGGTCATGTATGGATGTGAGAGTTGGACTATAAAGAAAGCTGAGGACCGAAGAATTGATGCTTTTGAACTGTGGTGTTGGAGAAGACTCTTGCGAGTCTGTTGGACTGGAAGGAGATCCAACCAGTCCTTCCTAAAGGGAATCAGTCCAGAATATTCATTGGAAGGACTAATGTTGAAGCTGAAATTCCAATACTTTGGCCATCTGATGTGAAGAGCTGACTCATTTGAAAAGACCCTGATGCTGGAAAAAATAGAAGGCAGAAGGAGAAGGGGATGACAGGGGATGAGATGGTTGGATGGCACCACCAATTCAATGAACATGAGTTTGAGTAAACCCCGGGAGTTGGTGATGGACAGGGAGGCCTGGTGTGCTGCAGTCCATGTGGTCGCAAAGAATCAGACACGACTGAGCGACTGAACTGAACTGAACAACTAAGTTGAGTGCGTTCTCAACATGCTTAAACCAATGCCTTTTGCAAAGTTATTCCTGTGGGATTTTATTAAAAAGACAGTTTGAAGATCAGTTTGAATAATTATGATGAAATGAAACACAAAACCAAGGACAGATATAATATGCAGTGGAAACCTGATGAACCTAAAAGCTTGCATCTATCATGAGTGAGCCTTTATAAGGAGGGAGATGGACTAGGACAGAAAGGAGGAAAGGATAACGGATAACTTAAGAAAAACACTTAATTTTTAAAGAGGTAATGGCTTGCGAAGAACTCTGTGACTTGGGCCCTTGAGGACTTTAGCTCAGTTCATTAGGATTTTTAGATATAAAATAAAAATAGTATAAACTGCAACTTGACAGCCTGTGCACTGGTGTTCACATCCATTATCTCATTCGATCCCTTAAAAAACAAACAAACAAACAAAAAAAAACCTTTGAGCCAAGACAAAGAAGGTATTATTGACCTAATTTTAAGAGCAAGCAGTTAAAATTCAGATACATTCAATGACTGCCCTGAGGTCATTTAGAGTCTGAAAGGAGACAGGACGCTAATGATATTCCTATATTTGCTCTCGAAGAGGGAGTTTCCTTTGAGAGCACTAATGAGTCTTTAACCTCTTGCAGAGCTATTCTCCATCCCAGGGTAACCCACACTAATTTAATGACGTTGGAGCTAACCACTCACTGAGGGTACTCCTATTTTAAATCACGTTCTCACCTTTAAAAGCGCAGTTTCTTAGCTTTTCTCTTCGTCCTGATCCTTATTTAGGCGCCTAATTTTTCACAGTGGATCTTCCTCCGTCTCACTCCAAAGCTCTACCCTCTTCGGAGAAGTCGCGTCCTCGGTATCCAAGGAAACCAAGCAGCCTGGCCCATCTTTTGCTTTCCTCGCTTTCCATTGGCCAGTGGATTCCGGTGTAGATTCCCCCCCCCCCCCCCCCCGCCCCTCGTCCTTCCAATGGCTAAAGGGCTTGAGGGATAAGCGCAGGCCTTCCGAGTTCCGTCCAACAGCTGGCTCTAACTACCCTTAGCATCCTGCGCATTGCCTTCTGGGAAATGTAGTTTCTCAGTTGTCCAAACCCTTCAACATCTGGCCACCGTTGGAACTACCTATCCCACCGGCCCTTGCGAAAGGGGCAGGAGTAGGCGAGGAGTTCTGGTCAGGATGGATACTTAGAACTTTAAAATTCCAATTTGCCGCCTAGACCCGTGTAGCTGACGTTTATATTGCTGAACGAAGTGAGTGGTCTTGCTATTGCTTCAGCAGACCCTCTTATCAAGTATCTCCCTTTTGGCTTGGTCAGCCCAGCGGCAAGCCGACGGGAGGTGGGGAGACTAACCTGAGGCTGAAGTAATCTGAGGGAGAAAGAGGGGCACGCCATGTTCCCCTTCTCGGGATGGGGGCTGGGCTGCCTCCGGCTCTGTCTGCTCAGAGTGTGGGCCGGCGAGGCCACCGGGCGCTGGGCCTGTGGGACATGTCAGTCCCGGCTGTACGGCTCAGGTGGGTCCCAGCCCGAGGTCTCTAGGTCTGACCCTGCGCGCAGGACTCTGAAGGAGTGGGCGCTGCTGGTGAGCCCTTTCGGCCGGCTGCGGGCGCGGCTCCCATGCCACCTGACCGTGAGGCCCCTGGACCCCCTCACCTACCCAGACGGCGACCGCGTGCTGGTCACAGTGAGCGGAGTGGAGGGCGGGGCGCGGGCCCTGGCCGGCCTGCAGGTGAACTACGACGAGGCGCAGAAGGAGGTGACCATCGTGGCTGATGCCATCGACCACCAGGCGTCCGTGGAAGTGAACGCCCCCCTGAAGTTTGGTAAGTGACTGTAAAACGGGTTTGGGTCCCGGGGCACACCCTGTGACCTTCTGAAATTAGGCCGACGTGCATTTTTAATTTGTCCCTTTGGACCTGACTTTTCAACGTAATTTACTCCTGACCCCTTCAGAAGCTGTGTCTCTTTTTTCCTGTTTTACTTTGGGTTTCTGAGTAGCAGTTAGGAATTAAGTTTTCAGTTATAGCAATTTTACAAATCTAGTAGAAACATGATTTGGAATAACCTAAGCCACATAACCGGAGAAGGCAATGGCACCCCACACCAGTACTCTTGCCTGGAAAATCCCATGGACAAAGGAGCCTGGTAGGCTGCAGTCCATGGGGTCGCTAAGAGTCGGACACGACTGAGCGACTTCACTTTCACTTTTCACTTTCATGCATTGGAGAAGGAAATGGCAACCCACTCCAGTGTTCTTCCCTGGAGAATCCTAGGAACGGCGGAGTCTGGTGGGCTGCCTTCTATGGGATTGCACAGAGTCGGACACGACTGAAGCGACTTAGCAGCAGCAGCAAGCCACATAACATTTTTTTTGTCTTATCCTCCTTTGACACTTTGTTCCTATTTGTGTTACTGCACTTTGTCCATAACAAAGTGTTTTATTTTTCAGGGTTAAAGTATTTTGATAATCTATTCAGTGGCATGGCAGGCCGTCCACATTTCCACTTGCTCATGGCCTGGGGTCTGTTCCCCAAACAGCCTTGCCTATAGTATGTTCCATATAATCCAGACCAAGTGTTTGGTTTCTAATAGGCACCCGGCTTCTTACTCAAAACGTCAGCATTCATTTTGGCCTAAGTAAATTTTCTGTGAGTTGCAGGCTTTGAAGAAAAACACATAGTTAGATTGCCCCAGAAAGGTCAATTGATAATGGCTGCCAGATATGTTTTCTAGGTGTTTTGAGTTCCATGTTATTTCTCACATGGAAGCCACAGTTTCTGTGACACTTCTCTAGGAACGTCTTCCTGGATTCTCTGCCTTCCTAAGACTGAAGGAAGATACTATTAATGATCATAATAGCAGATAACACTTCCAAAATAATCTTTTCTAATTACAATTGCACTATATTATAGACACTGTTTTGTCACCATTTACTGTAAGAGAATTGAAATTCAACAAGTTTGATGACCCCCTAGTGGTAAAGAACCCTCCTGTCAATGCAGGAGACTAGAGACTGGTTCAGTCCCCTGGGTGGGGAAGATCCCCTGAGGAGGGCATGGCAACCCACTCCAGTACTCTTGCCTGGAGAATCCCATGGTGATATAGCTGCATGATAATATGGAAGGTTAGAGGTAGGATTTGAAAACCTTAGTCATGATCATGTACAATGATACATACATTTCTTCTACAGTATGCTTTAAATTTGAGGGAGGTTTGGAAACAAATCTTTGACCTTTAAAAGAGAATAATCTAAATGACTTATCCAGTTCACCATAATGATGTTAAGTTGCTGTATTCTTACTCAAATTTGTGTGTGTATATTTTCTCAGTGGGAAAGAGGCTTCTGTGATCTTTCCAGGTGTGCCTATAAGAATTTGGAATCTTTGAGCTCCTTTGCTTACCTCCTATGTTACTTCCTTTCTTTAGATGATAGAGGCCAACAGAAATAACTGCTTTTTAAAAACTGGTAGAAAAGGGCTTTACATTTGGTCCTGCTGTGGTGGAGGTCACTTACCTTTAGAGAGAGACTACTGACAACTATGTTCTTTGCAGAATTCTGTAACATTATGAACATGACTGAGGAACTGAATTTCTGCAGGATACTTAAATGCTTTGGAGCCGTTAGCCATAGTAACTTGGATTTTCTTTTTTTCATTTGTAGATTTGAATATCCAGTCATCTGGGTCTGGCTGTGTAAAGGTCCAAAATATTGAGTGTGATAATTGCAAAATTGAAACTGAGCAGGGGACTAGCATCTTACAGTCTGTTAAGGTATATTTGTTTTTCTAATTTTGTTTTAATATTATTTTTTAAAACACTTTAAACTGTGAACCATGGTATCTAATGAAGGCTGTTATTCTGAACATCATTTACTGAAAATACTGAGTATCATTTATTCATCACTCAGAAATTCCTTGTAAAATTTTGTTTTAAAATCAGTTTTGTTATGACACTGTGTTGTAGCAACTTTGGAGGTTTTCATCATATTACATTTAGATTTCATTTCAAAGTGTACAGCAAAACTCATAATACATTCTTAGTATTCTTAGATCTTACCAAGCTTAAGAGATTAAAGAATGATTTTCTTACATTTATTAAGGAGTAAGGAAAAGTCTTTAAGCATTATAAATATGCTTAAAATATTAAGTTAATCAAAATTATAATGTACCAGGTAGCCCATTACTTAAGGATTAAGTAGGTATTTCACTACAAAAGCTTCATTTTGTGCTGTAACACTTTTATATTTAATTTTCTTAAAATTAGATTTGTCTCAGCTCTAAATGATTTCAAATGCATATTGATAAATTTAGCTTATTCTTACTGGTACTTCTTATATTTCATATTCAAAACTCAATACTTTTGTGAACTTTGTTAGTATTGTTGAAGAGAAGTCAGTCATCTCTGCTTCATAATTGCAAAACATTTTCATTTTTAATTTCATAAACACTAATTAGAATGATTAATTGGATACATTAAATTTCTTTTTACATTATTTGTTTTGTTCCAACCACCTTTATTTACACACCTGCCTTTGTCATCTGTTCACATGTGATCCCTTTCAATACATTTAGTTGCACGCATATCAAAAAAGATTACATACCCTTTTGGAAAAATGAGATGGTTCCAGTTCTTATTGTAAAAGATTGCACAGTGTGGTTTTCATGTTGAATGACTAGCTGGATGAGAATACCATGGTTCCTTTTTGTTCTTATAAACGTATTGTTCACTCATCAATGCTTGAATTTCAGAATACTCGTCTAGAATATTGTCCCCTGGAGACTCAGAGTCTTAGATTTTCAATTTCACAATCAAAATTAGAAGCAACTGTACTGCTCTCTGTCTTTGCATTAATCTTTTGATTCATCTGAAAATTCTGAATCTATTTTGTCAGTTTTTCTTTTTTCTATCATTATGTGCATTACATGGAAAATGATTTCTCAGCTTTGGCACTATTGACATTTTGGGCTGGATAAATTTTTGTTGTCAGGGGCTGACCTATGCACTGTAGGGTGTGTAGCAGTATTCCTAGCTTCTGTAAACAAAGTGCTAAGAAACAGTCCTCATTTAGGATAATGAAAAATATCTCCACACATTGTCCTCCTCTGGGAGGCAAAATCACTTTTAGTTAAGAACCACCATTCAAAACTTCCCTCCTAGCTCAGTCTGTAAAGAATCTGCCTGCAATACAGAAGTCCTCCTGCAATGCTGGACACCCGAGTTCGATTCTTAGGTTGGGAAGATCCCCTGGAGAAGAAAATGGCATCCCATTCCAGTATTCTTTCCTGGGAAATCCCATGGACAGAGGACCCTAGCGGGTTACAGTACATGGGGTAGCAATAGTCGCACACAACTCAGCAACTAAACTACCACCACCAAACACACTATTCAGAGCAAGTTTATCATTCTTCTGTTGTCTTATCCTTTTAGACATTTTCTGTCAGAGTTAGGAATAATTGAAAAATGATATTGAAATATCTACTTGGATAATGAAGTAGCAAATGTTTTGAGACATATGAAAAATAAGATTACTAAGATCCCATAATGTATTTTAGATTTACAAAGGAGCCCAGTGGACCATTACAGTAATTTTAAGATAGAATAATGCTTATCCTATTTAAAAAATTGGTAAATCTTCTATTTACTTTTTTAGGATACCTCTTAGAAAGAATAAAAGTCACGATACATCAATCCTACAAATAGAACGTGTTAGTTGCTCAATTGTGTCATACTCTTTGCGACCCCATGGACTATAGCCCACCAGGCTCCTCTGTTCATGGAATTCTCCAGACCAGAATATGGGTTTGGTTGCCATTTCCTTCTCCAGGGGATCTTTCCCACCCAGGGATACAACCCAGGTCCCCCACATTGCAGGCAGATTCTTTACCAACTGATCTCCAGAGAAGCCCACAAATAGAATAGTTCAAAAATACTCAAAAATTAAATTTGGGTCCACTGAATCTTAGTGATAGTTAGAAGAAATGAGTTGAGAGAATCATTCTTGAGATTTCAGAATTTAACTGACTTAAATTCACAAATGGAAACGCTTCATAAAATACCTGGTTTAAAGCTTTAAATACGGTATAATATTATTTCTAGTTAGTGATTGCCTTTAATGTAAGTTTCTATTACACTCATTTTAAGGATTTGAGATATATTTGATCTATGTAATAAGATGTTGATAGCAATTATAATAGCTACTGGTGGCTCAGCGGTAAAGAATCTGCCTGTTAATGCAGGAGATATGGAAGATATGGGTTCCGATCCCTGGGTTGGGAATATCCCCTGGAGGAGGAAATGGCAACCAACTCCAGTATTCTTGCCTGGGAAATCTCAAGGACAGAGGAGTCTAGTGGGCTACTGTCCATGGGGTCTCCAAAGAGTCATACACAACTTAGTGACCGAACAACAACAAACAACAAAACTGTCTACTGAGTTCTTATTATATATCCAGAAACTTAGCTAAGCCTTCATTTATTCCGTGAATTGTCTCCTTTTTATCAAGGAAGAAACTGTTGGATACAGAGACTGAGGAACTCATTTAGGTTCCCATAGTTAATAAATAGAGCTAAGATTTGAACTTGGGCCTTTCTGCATTCCAAGCTTATGCTATTTTCACCTTTCTTTATTGTCCAAGCAAAATGTCTAGCAGTAGTACATTTTTTTAGCATAATTAGGGAATAAATAAGTCAACTTTTCAAGCAATAGTCTCTTACCTCATTGAATGCCACACATTTGCATTTTTTAAAATGCAGTAATAATAGTTTATATTATAGTAAATAGCTTCTGACTTATTTAAACATTTAACTATTTCATAATATTTTTGAACTTTAGACTTCTTTGAAAATAGGATGATTATTTACTTGGAAAAATATACATATATATGAAATTTTGCTTACAATTTCATAAGTTTTGCAGACTCCAGAATGTCGTGTAAGTTTGGCTAAGAACTCTTGTTGTTCAGTCCTGTCTGACTCTGTGACCCCATGGACTACAGCACACCAGGCCTCCCTGTCCTTCAGTTATTTTGGAGATATTCTTTTTTAAAGTTCATGAATTACTTGTCTCCTTGATAAAGACAGTATTCTTAAATACAATTGGACTTCTGACTCATGTTTCTATGGGCATGAAGTAGTCTACCATGCTGTAACATAAATAAACTTTTTAAGAGGGGTTCATTTTGCCCTTTTTACTGAATTTTTTGAATTTCATCCCTGGGCTGTTTTACCTAAAGTTTTATTGTTTTGTTTTTCCTCCAAGTAAAGCAACCAGAAGGCATGTGATTGTTTTGAACTTTTTCCCCTACATTTCAGATACTTTTCTGTTGTTGCTGGTTGTGATATTGATGGGTTTGCTTTTGCTGTCTTTCATTCTCTGGTATTTACCTATTCTTTTTCTCTTTATACTTGTGGTAGAACGGAAGACTTACACAGATATTAAGGTGAAGAACGGTACTCTGAAAAATAGATCAAACCATCTAATAGCTCACACACAGCTATAGTTTAGTTTTCATTTGTGTCCAAGTTTATTTTTCATTTGTGTGGGTGACTCATTTCTATTCAGTTACTGTAGGTTCCTTTCATCTTCTGGCTCTGTCATCTATTAAAGCCTTATTGTAATATGCACTCACCTCATGGAAGGGGCAGAACACAGAGAAGGCACATCAGTTCTAAAAGCACAAGCCTGGATATTAAACATAGCATTTCCACTTATATTCTGTTGGCAAGAACTTAGAAGCACCTAGGTGGCACTGGTGGTAAAGAACCTTGCCTTCCAGGGCAGGAGGTGTAAGTTTGATTCTATTAGTTTATAATTTGCTGTTTTCCAGTATATCACCTGATAAAGTTGTTTACCTTTCTGATTCTTGAATTTCTTTCTCTGTAAAATGGGGAAACACATAATATGCATCACTCTGAGTTGTGAGAATTAAATGTTAGTTTGTGTAAAGTAGCGAACACTGTTATTGATGCAAAGGGAATGCCAAGTCATAGATGTTATTGTTATTAACAATATGCATATTAATGATGATGAACAGTAACATTGATTGTTGTTATCATCTTCATCATTTATGTTTAGTTAGCCAGTCACAGTGATCTTTGATTCCCACCCCTTTCTTCAGTTAAGCTACTAAAACTCCTGAGTCCCTCTAGTCCAAACAGCTTTATTTAATCCCTTTAACAGCAGTTGACATTCTTTTCTCACAGATGTTATTATTCAAAGCAGTACATTGCTATTTCATTCCTAGTTCCTCTGTTACTGCTTTATTATTATTATTTTAAAAAAATGTATAAAATGTTGAATATTTATTAGTGTAAGTCAAATTTATGCTTTCTTTTTCTATATGTGTATTTTGTATTTGTCTTTCAGAGTCAAAAATTACATGTTCAAACAACAGGAGGCAAAGTGATCTGCCTGGGAACGGTTTATGGAAATATAGATATCCATGCATCAGATAAAAGTGTAAGATTGAAATTTTCATTTTTAGTAGTTGCAGTTTGGCTCACATAGAGGGTAGATTCTACAAAATTTGTGGTATAACTTCCCCTTTTTAATGTATTTTAGTTTGTTAGTAAATTTAAGTTTGAAATAGAGATGATTAAATATTATACAATTTAATTTTAAATTTTTGTTTTAAAACTTTTGTTATTTAGCTCCTTATTTGGAATCAGTAATATCTTTAAATACTTAATATTTGTTTAAAATTTTTTAAAATTGAAGTAGAGTTCATTTACAGTATTGTGGTAATTTTTGCTATATAGCAAAGTGATTCAGTTATACACACATATGCAGTCTTTTTTATATTCTTTTCCATTATGGTTTATCCCAGGATATTGAATATAGTTCACTGTGCTATACAGTAGGACCTTATTGTTTATCCATTCTATATGAAATAGTTTGTGTATAATCCCAAACTCCCAGTGCCTTTTTCCCAAATACTTAATATTTAATTCTGATTCTGAAGAGATTTTTTTTTTTTTTGATCATGGGTTAAAATTATTCATTAAGTAATCCTATGAAGAAGTGAAGTGAAGTGAAAGTTGCTCAGTCGTGCCCGACTCTTTGCAACCCCCATGGACTATACAGTCCGTGGAATTCTCCAGGCCAGAATACTGGAGTGGGTAGCCTTTCCCTTCTCCAGGGGAGCTTCCCAACCTAGGGATCAAACCCAGGTCTCCTGCATTGCGGGCGGATTCTTTTACCAGCTGAGCCACAAGGGAAGCCCCAAGTAATATTGTACTTGGAATTAAATTTTTCTTTTCTCTTTTTTGGCTATTAGCCCTTTATTGACATAATTTATAGAGCACATAAAGAACTTACAACTTAGGGATTTCCTGGCAGTCTAGTGGTTTAGTTCAGTTCAGTTCACTCAGTCGTGTCCAACTCTTCCAACCCCATGGACTATATAGCACGCCAGGTTTTCCTGTCCATCACCAACTACCAGAGTTTGCTCAAACTCATGTCCATTGAGTCAGTGATGCCATAAATTTTTCTTAGTGTTAGGTTTATTTGAGTATTTTTTTTACCCAATACCTGTTTATTTTGCCTTTAGGCAATTGAAGGATGTTTCAAAACTCAACTTTCTTCAGTGTTTTCCACAAGATGGCGCCATTAGATAGCATTACTGTTTTCCAAACGCTTTTACTAGCCATAGGAATTTTCATTTTTATGAGACATTTTGCATTTTTCATTCAACTTTTGTTGCTTTCTGTGGTTTAACATAGTATTAAGAATAAATGTATGATTTTGAAGTATAAATTTTCAACAATTTTTCAGCACAATCAGTGATATACTGAATCTTTTAGAAAGGTATAAGCCACCTTTTGGGCTTCCCAAGTGACGATAGTGCGAAAGACCCCCCTGTCAATGCAGGAAACATGAGACACGCCAGTTTCATCCCGGGGTCAGGGAGATCCCCTGAAGGAGGGCATGGCAACCCACTTCAGTATTCTTGCCTGGAGAATCCCATGCCCCTGGAGGGCATGGCAACCCACTCCAGTATTCTTGCCAGGAGAGCCTGGTGGTCTGCAGTCAGTGGGGCCGCAGAGAGTCAGACACAACTGAAGTGACTTAGCACACAGTTACAAGCCACCTTTTGGGGCTTCCGTGGTGGCTCAGCAGTGAAGAGTCCACTTGCAATACAGGAGATGAAAGAAATGCAGGTTCAGTTCCTGGGGCAGGAAGATCCCCTGGAATAGGAACTGGCAACCCACTCCAGTATTTCACCTGGAAAATTCCATGGACAGAGGAGCCTCGCAAGTTACAGTCTGTGGGGTTGCAAAGAGTCGGTCACGACTGAGCACACAAGCCATCTTTTATTTTACAGTTAATTTGCATGGCTGTTGCATCATGAATTTGTTCAGTTCCATACTCAACTTTATCCTCAAATGATTGGTAGAGAGGAACTGGAATCCTATATGTAGATTATTGTTGGCATAATTAAACAAGGCAGGTTATCACACTAATTATTCTGCCTTTTTATTTTTCATCGCCTTTTCCTTAGAACCTGTGGGAGACTGTTTAAACCCAAACATTCAAATTTATCTTTTTAAAGCGTCTTGAAAGACACTGCCTGACTTTATGTGGCAGCTGTTTTGAGACGGCATTTAGCTTCCCCTCTCTGGTTGTGCTCTTGGAGGTACAAAAGGAAACTGGATAACTGCAGTTGTAGAATAGCACATACTGATGTTCAGATGTAACTATCAAAGATTTAAGTCTTCATAATTATATTTTGGCCACTGTTTCCACTCATCATTTATCTTTTCTGTTAACTTTCATGGTTTATTGAATATTCATTTATTCCTATGTTCTGTTTTTTTTTTTGTTGCTTTGTTTCCTGCCTAACTGGGTTTTGTGTTGTGCTAGCAAATCTATTTTGATATTTCTTTTAGTTTATATTATGCATAGTGTTAATTTTTAAGACATATTTCTAAGTTTGTGGGGCTTTATATAAAAATTGCTTATAAAATATATTAACTTTTAATATACAGCTTTCGTGGAAATGTTTTGGATATTTGAGAGGTAGCATAGTGAATTGGTTAAGAGCACAAAATTGAGCATCAGCGTACTTGGGTTTGAATCCTGGCACAGCCACTTACTAAGCTCTTTACTTTCAGATTAGTTATTTAACCTCTATGTATTTTGGTTTTCTAGAAAATGGAATAATGGTGTTAACTCATATGGTTGTCATGAGGATTAAATGAGTTAAAACATAATATAGATAAAGTACTTAATACAGTGTCTGGCATAGCTAACTCTGTTGTAGTGTTGATGACGATGATGTCGATAGAGGTAAGTGAAACACAGGAAAGATAATTTGACAAGTCCTAAACCTCCCAGTTAACTTGACTGAGACTCTTTCATTATTCATAACGTAGGGATGGTGTTTTTTTTTCGCTCAAGAAGATTGTAAGAATCAAGTGAGCGTGATAAATACTCAACAGTATTCTTTATGTATCATTTTATATGGAATGGCTATTTTTTAAATTGTATTGTTAATTTATGTATCCTAAGTTTGATACAGAGAAGATAGAAATCCATTTTATCTGATTGTTGAATGAATTGATGATATAGTTATCATTTGACCTTTCTTTCTTAGTTTGGACTACAAGGCTACAATTTTCCCTTAAAGCTTCATTTTAATTTGATAATGTTTATTTATAATAACTAGACTTTATGAGAAAAAGTTCTTTTTGTGTAGGAAGGCAGATTAGTTTATAGCAATATCTCTCTAAGAAACGTATTTTTGAGTCTGCTTTTTGTTCTTTCTTTAAATAGCTACTTTTCTTAACAAGCAAGCTGTACAGTTTAAATGAGTCTATTTTTTACTCTTTGTGCTGTTACCATTAATATAAATCAGACCTTCAATATTTAAACTATGGTGCCTTAAGTTTAATTGTTCCAGTTAGTATCTGATACAATGCATTATATATGGCCCTCAGTGAATTTTCTATTTCTTTAAAGTAATTTTATTGATGGATTGGTTAAAATAGTTATATTATTGTGGCAGGGAGAGTTGTATTTTTGCTTGCTTTCATTTGCTTTGAGGATATTTTTTAGCTTCCTACAGGGTAAAATATTTAGTGTTTAATGAACAAAGTAAATTTTTAGTTTTTTCATAAATACATAAGGAATGTCTTAAAGGCTTTATTTGATTGTGGGGAGAGTCTAATCAAAAGTTCTTCCTTTACCAGTTCAATTAAGTTTCAAATATTCTTTCAATATTTATCTTTTGGTATTCCCTAAAACAGCCTCACTGTTTATAAAGAGCTAGAGTATTCATATTTGTCTGCTTTATGGAAATGCTTGGAGAATTTGAAGCTATGCATAAAGCAACTTTTCATAGAGAAATTTTGTAGGTAAAGGATAATTTTTTTAGGAATATTAAACCTTTACTGTTACACTGAAGGATGCAAAGCATGTGTATCCTCACAAATCTGAATGTATGTAAAATATCCGTCCTTTGACAGATTTATCGAAACTAGATTTAAAGTAAACCTGTGAATCCATAATTAGTGGAAAAGAAACTGTAGTAGATAAGAAGTAATTAGGTGTATTTGTTTATTTATTTATTTTGGGGGGTGTATTTAATATATCTAATAAAAGTCCGTTAAAAAAGAAAATTCTGTACTTCAAATCCAGATGGCAAATTAATTCTAGTGTACTTACCATAACAACCTCTAGGTACTTTTATTTCTTTTTGTATTTTAGTATTCTGGAAACTCAATTCTTATTAAATAATATTTTGCACTCAACAATTTTTGAAGGAAGTATTAAGATTGAATAATACTGATGCCAATGTGTTGAGAAACAAAGATGTTCTGTCTTTAAATACCTCAGTGTAATGCTTGAATCTGACCCTGGGCAAAACTGTGGCATGCCTTCCTGGTGATTTAGTTTTTATGTCAGCAATTTTATATTAACTATCACTTTATGCTTATAAAATATTTGCTTAAAATACTATAAAGATAATCTGGAGTTCTTAATTAGATATCTTCATTTTACATTGTGCTCAGCATTTGAGACATAAATGCATACTAAATTTTGTTAGGGAAGCTTAGACATAAATATAAAAGTATTTTCATTTTGTTCGATGTACAACTACTGACATTCAATGTAAGGGGAAAACATTCTAGAAATAATAGTTTATTTACTACATTAACAGATGAGAGGAGAAAAATCATATGATAGTCCAATAAAATCAGATAAAGTATACGCTAAAATTTAAAACCCATTCATCATTTAAACAGCAACAACAACAAAACAGATATGAAATAAAAGGGAGCTTCCTTAGTCTAACAAAAAGGGATCTAGAAGATCTCTATAGCAAACATCATACTTAATGATGTAGTGTTGTAAGCTTTCCCTCTGAGAACAGGAATTAGATAAGGATGCTTGCTTATAACTTCATCACTTCTATTCACTGTTGAATTGGAGGCCTGAGCTGGATAGCCAAGAAAGAGCAAGAAAAATAATATGAGAATTGGAAAGGAAGAAATGAAACTATCACTTGTAAACAATATAATTATGCACATAGAAAAATTATTTTAATTCAGGTAAATTATTAGAATTAAGTGAGTTTAGTGAGGCTTTGGATTTAAGGTCAAATACAAAAACCAATTAAGATGAAATGATGTTTAAAAATGCCTTTTATAATGATATTTAGAAAACATAAAGTAATAATTATAATAAATAATAATTAATAAATTATAATGATAATAATAAAATTAATAAATTTAACAAAACATGAAGAACTCTACATAGAAAATATAAAGCATTATTGGGAGAAAGTAAAGAAGATCTAAATAAATGAAGGAATATAATGGATCTCTTCCACAGAGAATACACAGTTGCTCATAATCATGTAATTAGAGCTGGGGAGTTGAAGTCAGTAAGTTGACTGCATGCTGTACATATTAGTTGCTCACTAATTCTGTTGGCACAGTTTTCACTTTTTATTAGCCTTCATTTTATACTGATTGAATCTTTCTCTTACTAGACTGTGACTGTAGATAAACTACAGGGAAGTTCTGTTAATATATCTACTGAAGATGGTTTGCTGAAAGTCAAGTATCTTTATACAGAATCATCATTTCTGTCTTCTGCTGCCGGGGATATTACATTAGGAAGTATTCATGGTAAGATGACAAAGGCCTAATACATCTTAGATATGCCATGTAACAAATTTTAAGAGATGACTATTTCTTTATAGTTGAAGGAGGATCTGCAAATTAAGAAGGTGTCCCTCTAAATAATTAGTTACAAACTAATCATCTTTAAAAACCCACAAAATAAAGTGACTCATAATGTACTGAATTTTATTTTGTCAAAAAATTGAATATCATGTTGTTATACATGAAGCTAAAAATAATTCTGATTTTTAATTCATTTCCTTGTAGAATGGAACAAACAAAGAAATCTGTGTAGGAATATTCAGAGGAAAGCATGATGAAGTGAAAGCAGTGTTAAAAAATAAAGATGGGTTCTGAGTGTTTTAGGTTGTGATAGGAAAGCTAAGGATGAGCTACATTAATGAAGCATTTGTGTGAGAGATTATAGTGATTCAGTGATACTAATTTTGGCTAAAATACTTAAGTGTGTTAGTTCTAGCACCAGGTCCTCTCAGTGCCCTGCCATTTTCAGTGTTCTTTAAATACAATCTTACAACTTTCAAAACTTGTCTCTGCAGTTAAATAATGTTACTTAGTTAACTTTTGTGTTACTGAAAGAAGAGAAGAGAACATAATGGTGAAGTAATATGGCAGAGGGCATGCTGGTATTTAGTGTCACTCAGCATGCTTCTTAATTTCCACACAGCAGATGATTTAAGTCCAGGCAGGTTTTCTGAAATATATATAGATATTAATAGAATTAAGAATCTCTTATCCTGGTAGGTAGTGTACACACATCTGCTAAATGCCTTTTGGACCATATTCCAGGAGTTACAAACATTTGCTGTACATAGTCAACACTCATTTAACTTCTATAAGAAAGCTGAATATTGTTATCTATGTACTTTGGTGAAACCTCCAGATTTTCTTAATCAACATGAATTGTTAAGTAGTATTAGAAAACTTGACTAGTGCTAACCATGCTGTATAGCAAACTGGCAAGTAGCCTTACAGTTAAAAAGAAAACTAAAAAAATGAGCACTTAAATGCTTGAAATAATTCTTGAACCTCAATTTCATAGTTAAACCTTGTCAATCATTCTTGTAGGCTTAAAGTATTATTTGAGACCAGAATAGCTTGTGTCCAGTAGAGCTGCACCTAAATAAAACAAAGTTTTCTTACTTATTCATCAGGTTTTTTTTTTTTTTCTTACTCAGTTGTGCCTTGATTAGTTCTGGTACTTTGTAACTCCATATTTGAACAATGACTTATATGTAATCATTGCATTTCTAACTGTCAATTGTAACTGAAAGTGCTGTACTTAACATATTAAGTAACTTTTAGTGGAAAAGCAGTTCCTTACCATATTACATGTTGATTAACACTCGGAATAAGAACAGCTCTCTTCTCTGCAGTACTTTATATCATGTTTATTCTAAATTCATTGATGTTTTTTAATTTATTTTTTTGCTTTATGTTAATCAAGAATTGAACTTGGTATAATTTAACATCAGTAGTTTGCATGATAGTTAAACAAATGTACTTTTTTTAAGCAGTCCTCAAAATACTTTAGGTCTCTTGATTAGTTACAGTGGCTGAAACGGAAACAGATGGCTAGGAATAAGAGTTCATTTCTTGAGCTTTCGTTAAGTGTTTTTTATTTACTGACCTCTACTTTGAAGTCAAATACCTTTTCTTGGGTTATTTAAGTCTAATCAGACCTGCATCCTCTTTCAGACTTTGTCTCTGGTTGGATTTTTGAAAGGAGACTGGAAGATGGAAATTAAGAGTGCAGCAGATTTACCAGGGAGGCCTCTGGGCCCCAATGCCATACAAAGGAAGAAAGCCTAGTTTCCACAGGAGAGATTAAACTTGATGAGTCTCAGCAACCCCAAAGGATGCTGTGAAGCTGAAAGGGTCCTCAGAATTGTTTTGGGTTGGGATGAGGGGAGGTGGACCTTTATGTCCCCAGTCCTAAGAAGCAGGCTGCCCCAGAAGCAGTATGATCCTAGATCAAAATGGCTCTCTTCAGCTAAACCAGTTCCCTAAGGGGGCAGACAGTAAGGACTGTCTGCCAGCAGTATTCCCAGTAGATCAGAAAATAAGCCCTTCAGTTACAGAGGGGATTCTAGATGGCAGCGTACAGCATCCTCTACCTTTGTATTTATTGATTCACGCAGTACCTTTATTGACCACCTACTGTGTGCCAGATTTTCAGGCCCCAGGGGTATGAAGTTGGGCAGGAGATGATCTCTATCTTTAAAGAGCTCATAGTCTAGTGGGAGGGTTGCGTGCCATCTTTCTTGTTTGTAATACTAGTAGAGCAGAAAGAAGTAGAAGGGAAAATTGATCCAGTTGCCATGGTACAGAAGGTTCTGTTTGTACTAAGGTTGTACAAATACAAAAGGTTGTTCAGCCCTGCTTTCTCTATCTGATCCTTGGCTGTCACTCTACTTGGTTTTCCAGTGGTAGTCAGTATAATAAAGAGAGAGATTTGAAAGAAACCATTTTTGTTTTTTAGTTACACCCAGTGCCTGCCTACTTTTTAAGTCACGCTTCAGAGAGGCCCAAGTTTCTTGCCTTTCCCTCTGTGCCATACCTAGTTCCATCCTTATCCCAAGGGATTATATGCACATGTTCCTTGAGTCTGGTGTGAAGATGGGATGGGTACAGAGGAGTAGCCAGTGTTCCAGCCCTACATCCTAGTAAGTTTAAAGATAGAGTCATGACTGGGGGGTGGAAGTCCTTATGTTCTAGCTACTGGAATTTAGTAGAGAGAGATAGCTCCCAAGAATCATCCTAAGCTGGAATGCTAAATGTATATTCCAGTGAATTCTTTGTTGTTAGTGGTGATGGTCATATAATGCAAATTAGGTACATATTTTGGTTGTATTTAAATAAACTAGCTTGGGAATCTTCTATGGGAAAATAGATTGCTACTTCTAAACATCTTACAGAAAACAAACTCATAAGAATGTATATATTCTAAGACCTGCCTGTTGAGGATTTGTTTAGTTTGGCCTCTTTTTCATAAGATAGATTTTTGTTTTTTAACTCCAACATACAGATGTTGTAAAGGCCTTTTATACCACTAACATCATAACAATAACTGTCTTCAGATATATGAATTTGGAGCCCTTGTGTCAGTAGGGGTGTGTGTGTGCACTAAATTGCTTCAGTTGTGTCTGAATCTTTGTGACCCTAGGGACCATAGCCTGCCAGAGTCCTCTGTCCATGGAATTCTCCAGGCAAGAATGCTAGAGTGGATTTCCTTGCCCTCCTCCAGGGGATCTTCCCAACCCAGGGATCGAACCCATCTCTCTTATGTCTCCTGCATTGGCAGGCAGGTTCTTTACCACTACCACTGCCTGGGAAGCCCATCAGTAGTTGGGTGAGCGTTTGTGTGAAAGCGTGTTGAAAGCAAACATTTATTGTGTGCTTCATGAAGTGAGTCTGCTTCTTTTACTTACTGGGTAATTGGCTGTTTACAAATGAAGACTATAAAACTTAGAAATGTCTAATTGTTTGCTCTCAGTTATAAGTTATTAGTGGAAGAGCAAGTATTCAATCCAGATTTCTTGACTTTTAGGGAGATGTTTTAAAACAGTGTTTGTACATAGCCATGGTGAATTTCTTGATTGCAACCCAAATTCTATCATTGCTTTGAGGGCTTCCTGGGTTGCTCTACAGATGCTTCCTCTAGGCAAACAACACTATAACACAGATGCACTGCTTCAGCTGGGTTCTAAATTGTAAACTCCAGTTTCAGGGTCATTTATTATGCCTTAAATGAGTTTTTGGTATTCCATAGAGTGTTTGGGTTCAGCTTAGCTCTGTGGAGCCAATCAGGTACTCAGTTCATTCTATAAAAGTGTTTTGCTTCAAAGGGTTCCGTGTGGCTTCAAAGGGTTCCTTCCATAAAGGAAGAGGGAGCTTGAAATTTATTTTTGTCAGTGTATTCTTTTTGTTCATATACTCTGATGCAAACCAGTACTGCTGAAAAAAGAGGATGCTCAGTAATGAAGAAAGGGAAAATGAAAGGAGTAATAAGTCTTTCCTGGCCTTGTAAATTGACTCCTATATGTAGAGAAAAGAAAAAAAAAATCTAAAATGTTTTTTGAAATGAAAATTTTAAGTATAGCTAGCTGTATTTTCTCGATAAGAAAATAAGTAATCTAACTAACTAGTAATATTTACTATTTGTAATGTTGCTGCTGCTGCTAAGTCGCTTCAGTTGTGTCCGACTCTGTGCGACCCCATGGATGGCAGCCCACCAGGCTCCCCCGTCCCTGTGACTATCCAGGCAAGACCACTGGAGTGGGTTGCCAGTTCCTTCTCCAATGCATGAAAGTGAAAAGTGAAAGTGAAGTCGCTCAGTCATGTCCGACTCTTAGCCACCCCATGGACTGCAGCCTACCAGGCTCCTCCATCCATGGGATTTTCCAGGCAAGAGTACTGATGTGGGTTGCCATTGCCTTCTCCATTTGTAATGTTGAATACTGCACAATTGCACTCATCTCACATGGTAGCAAAGTAATGCTCAAAATTCTCCAAGCCAGGCTTTAGCAATACGTGAACTGTGAACTTCCAGAGTTCAAGCTGGATTTAGAAAAGGCAGAGGAACCAGGGATCAAATTGCCAACATCTGTTAGATCATCGAAAAAGCAGGAGAGTTCCAGAAAATATTCGACTTCTGCTTTATTGACTACGCCAAGCCTTTGACTGTGTGGATCACAACAAACTGTGGAAAATTCTCGAAGAGATGGGAATACCAGACCACCTGACCTGCCTCCTGAAAATCTGTATGCAGGTCAAGAAGCACCAGTTAGAACTAGGCATGGAACAACAGACTGGTTCCAAATCGGGAAAGGAGTACGTCAAGGCTGCATATTGTCACCCTGATTATTTAACTTATATGCAGAGTACATCATGAGAAATGCCAGGCTGGATGAAGCACAAGCTGAAATCAAGATTGCCAGGAGAAATATCAATAACCTCAGATATGCAGATGATATCACCTTTATGGC